ACGCGTTTGGCGCCAACCGAATGGTTTGTCATTGTTGTTCTTCGCGTCCTGATACTGAAATTCTCGCGCAGTGGACGTTTAACCCCGTCGACGACGACCAAGAGCTGTTCAAGATCCAGAGCGCCCTCGGGGATCCGTTCCTCACGTTCGTCCCCACAGGCGACGGAGCACCGCTCTTCAGCCAGGCTACCACGGACGCCGACGGGACTGTGATTTCGATGATTTGTAACCCTGCGGATGCTGCGTCGGGCAGGCGAGTTCGCGTTCTTTCCGCCAAATGACTTTACTTACGGCGTACGCAGTGTTATCCACAACGCAACTGGTCTTGCGCTCACGGCGTGGCACCAGGAGGACGGGAGCACGATCACCCCGGTTACCCTCGAGGAATACACTGGCCGCACGGAGCAGACTTTCTTCTTTGTGACTATTGGGACGTAAGATTGTCTTGTACTTTATTCGAAGCTTGTTGAAGACATGACCTGAATTCTTCTGCGTTCCTAAAGCACAAGAGCAAGTTCATTGAGTGTTTATTTCCAGTGGCTTGATGTTTAAAACGTTTCGAAAACGCCGTGAGCAGGGTTGGTTCCAATGTAAGCCTTTTGACTTGAATGCTTCAAACGAAGACAAGGAACCAAGCACTCGTTGCGTAAACGTCATGGAGGAACAAAAAGAAGAATGGTGACATCCACTGGCAGTCACATCATCAGACTTGCCTTTTCGGGAACTATGCTGGTCCATTGTTTGCGCTTCGCCACCAGCCTATAAAAGCCAATGCGGGTCCAGACTGGCCTTCATTCCGCCTCTCTCTTTTACGCCCAGGACCGGTTCCTCCCTTCTCTTCACGACACACGACTTTCCTTGACTCTCATCTGTAAACATGAAGTTCTTCTCGACCATTCTGCCCTCCGCCACCGTCCTCCTTGCACTGGCACTCAATGCCAACGCTCATGCTTCCCCGGTTCCGATGCTCGGAATCAAGGGCACCCCGCAGCGCAACGACGTCCAACGCCCGTCCACATCGTCGCCCTGTGGCAACGTCAACATCGCGAACACCATCGATACCTCTGCGAGCGTGCCTGCTGAGGCCGATGGAACGACGGTCCAGCTCAATATCACCAACTACAACGCGTGCGTCGTCTTTTCGTTCTGTTCCATGACAACTCTGACGAATAACGCAGTGGCGCAGATGGCTCTCGCAGCGTCTCCGTTATGGTCGACCCCACTGGCACCGGCAAGAAGTTTGTCGCAGCCAATGTGACCAAGAACGGCGACCCCGCGCCCAAGACGAATGGCAACGACCTCGTTACGCTCGAGCTTCCCGCTGGGACCAAGTGCACCGGTGGCAAGAGTGGCAACCTCTGTCTCTTGGTGCGTCTTCACATTGTATATCTCTCGATACTCACATGGGCCTACAGTCTGTCAAGTCCACTGCCGGCTTCGGCGGCTGCACTCTCGTCAGTCAGCTCGCGTCGTCGTCGGGTACGAGCAGTGCCGCTGGTGCTACATCGAGCAAACTTCCCTGCAAGAGCAAGGCAAAGCGTAACCGCGACCGTCGTGCGATTGGAACCCGCGCCGCCAAGGCTGCCCGTGCCGAGGTCGAGGGATTGCACGACAACCCCGTCTTTTGAGGATACACGCGTTCATGATTACGACCTCGTCCATCCTTAGATCTTGCTCTCTCCGCTTGTATTCCTAGCCACTAATCCAAATGTATCGTTCTTGCCTGTATGAATCCCGTCTTCCGACAAAACCGCCAGATTTCCACTGGAGCTGCTCTCTGAAATCGCCTCGAGCACCCACGACCTGCGCTTCAAGTTACAGTTGATACAAACGCAGTTTCGCGTTCACTCTTTAATTGGTGCGTTTCTTCTTAGTCTTTCTCGTTGAAAGCGTGTGGGTGACCGAGAGTGGGAGTGAACATAGACGAACAGTCGTTTGCATGGAAGTGAGATTAATGCTACCAGAATGCAGCCCACGGACTGCGCTTGCCTATTTCCTGGAATGATTTGACCGTTTTTAGTTCGATAACCTGTTTCTCCTTCTCTTTGTCCTCGCCCTCCGAGTCCTCCTTCATCAGCAGCTCCCACTGTTTTCTCCACTGTTTCCTCCACTCGCGTACAGACGGGACAGCGCCCTTGTAAGCCTTGAGCTGGATCTTCCCTAGTAATGGGCGGGCGGAGAGCAAGTCTCGAATGGACGAAGCGTCGAAGACCATGAAGGTGTAGCCTGTCAGCGACACAAGACGCGGAAGATGCGTGGTTAGGTGCTGGAAGAACTCGTCGGTGAATACGATAGAGTGGGAAGCTGGTAGCGGCGAGTTCCCTCCGACCACTGGCGCTTGCATATCGCTGAGCGTCAGGTGAGTCAGCTGCGGAAGCAACGCCATCCAAGTCTTTGTGGACGCGTTGGTGCTGGGTTCGTATAGTGCGATGTTGACGAGCGCGAATCGCGTGAGTTTCTGCCCGAGTAAACTGTTTCGTTCGATAAAGTCGCAGAACACAACAGGAGAGATGCACAGCGGGCGCCTTTGCGGGTCAGAGACGGGGGAGGCAAACGACAGCGAAGTGAGAGCGGGCAAGGCGAGTCGGGACAGCGCCCGGTCGAGAATCGCGCCGCAGTGCACGAGATCGCTGCTCCATTGGTTCCATACAGTTAGATGCAGTTCAACGAGCGTCGACGTGAAGTACGGAACGTGTATCCGGCCGTCGTAAGGTATCTGAAAAGAAACGGCGAGATGCAGCGGTTTTGTAGACAGCGCCAGCTGACGAAGCGACCAAATAATATGTGTAGGCCATGCATGGATACACTCCGATTTCCCAGAGGAAATATAGATAGTCTCTAGCTGCTCGTGCGGGATGATTCTGGTAGGTGGAGTGATGGGTATAATTCTGAGGGGTTGTTCCGGGAGGAAGGTCGTGAAAACTTCGGCCAGGCGTGGGGCTTTTGTGAGGTCAACGGGGAAGTTGTAACGCGGCCGGACATGCAAGCGTTCGAGGAGAGGGAAGGGGCCGTCCAATAAGCCTGACTGCCAATATCCTGCTGATTCCGGGTGCGCCACGTCGATGTTCACTACGCGCCATCGAGATGAAGACGCCTTGAGCAGAGCAAGCGGTTCGGGATACAGGTTGGGAGAGGCGATACGCGCGTGGAGGATAAGTGGAAGTGCTGCTGACCGAACAAGGCAGAAATTCAACAGAAAGCAGAGCGCCCTCGAGCTTTCCCTATCGACGGGTAATTGGTCGAAGTCGACCTCGATTGTGCTCCAAAGCCATGGCATTTCCAGCGCAGCGCGTCGCCAACGTCTACAGACGCGTGATACTGCGAGCAAGGGGAGATGTGCGAGGGTTTCGAGGGCCTTTTCAGACGTCCTGACGCGCCAATTGAGACCCAGGGTCTGGTATGCGGGTGCCAAATACGCGAAGATTTCGGCCAAAATGTCGATGGAAAGAGCGTTGGATGCATGGGAGAGGGCGATGGACTGCTCGAGTTGTTTGGTTTCCGGACAGCATATCGATGTGTCGCCGTCGGGATTCTTCATGGTGAAGGTCGGAATCAAGGAGGGAAGGATCCCGTGACGCAGCGTGACCGCAAAAGCCCCTATCCAACGACGCGTATACATGAACCGGCTAACAACCAGAGCTACCGCAGGCCCATCGGAAATTTAAAGAAACGCGTTGTTCGCCACACGTTATCCTTGAACGAGTTCCGTCCGAGTCTCGACTCTCCAGCTGAAGTTACAGGGCACATAGAGTCTCCGTTAGCTACTTATAGGTCATAACGATGCGGCGTGGAAGAAGCAACGCGTCGTCGCAATGCTGGTGGAGACGGATGAACGCTCAGCTTGAAGTCAGCCGCCGGCTCAAATTCAATGACTCAAACACGACGACCTCGAGGGTTCGATCGAAATAACTTGAAGTACCGCAGTCATTGGAGGGTTGTCCTTCGTTCAATAGACCGTGGACTCCCTGCGGCAATATACAGAATTCATAGTCAGCTGGCACTGGCACGGCGGAAAGGTTTGGAGATAATCCTACATTGCACCACGAGGGCCGAGTTCATTCGGTTTATTTTACGCCTTCAGCTCCATGAGGGCCGTTGAGCGCTGAGACAACGTAACGTTCCAGTTCACTCCCGTTAACGTTCAAATTCCATAACGGAGGAGAGTCGTGAGCGCGGATTACTTTACGGCGCAAGTTGAGCCATCGCAAAAAAGGTCACTGGCATATACTCACAGATGAGGCTCTTTCAGTCAGATACGGTACAGTAAGGTCTGCGAAGGCCGTACAAGTCACTGACTAGTTCCTTTGAGGAGCGCGGCCTAGGCCTCGACGAACGAGGGTCGCTTCGGCGATTTGAGACTCGGAGATTCGACAGCTTGCAACAGTTTATTGAGTATCAGCTCGGCTGCCTCGGTGTACGTCCACAAGATGGACTAGACGAAACAATAGCGCCCAAGTGGGCGAGAGGAGGGCAACCTCGAAGATATGAATGGTCATGAAGCCCACATGTAGCGTCGCTGGACATTGGAAGAGGCATCCTGAAGGAAGGGAGTGCGGACTCGGAAGCTGCCTTTAGAGCAGCAGCAGTCTGCCCGAGATTCTTCGCACTCAGGCGGGTGACGCGTCTCCAGACCAGAGCGCTGCTGTTCAGGTCCCGACGCCGCTGCCAGTGCTGTAGCGAAGATTCAGAGAAAAGAGCTTCGAGACTCGGAGTCCGACCGTCGGAGGTAAAAAGAACCTTGCAAAATGAAGGGTAAGCTTATTACGGGCAGCGTCTTTGTGTGTCAGGCAACTCGAAAGACGGAGAGAGTGGTTCTGTTCAGCGTTGAAGAGATCAGCGATGTTGATGATTGATCGTTTCTATGGAAGGTTCCAGGCTTGCTCCAAGCTTGCTCTCGGTCTTCCTTACTCTCGGCCGAGGACGCCCGATGCGAGGCCATGACGCTGGATGCTCAAAATTCGATAGCAGATGATATGCTGTTGCGCTGCGTAAAAAATATCGGCCGCCTGGCGAAATGGCATCGCGTCTGACTACGATTGAAGCTTCCTGCTTAATCCACGATCAGGAGATTGCAGGTTCGACCCCTGCGGTGGTCATTGTTTTGCCGTTCTGTGGCTATTCTACGCCTTTTCGGAACGTCCTGGCACTTTTTGTCGAGTGCAGAAATGCACTAAGTCCATTTTTGGCCGAAAAATTGCGTTTTGACAGATTTATTCACTTTATGATCTCCAATTTCCTCATTGGGAACTTCACTGGAGGTCCTCCCCTCCCCGGAAAGTCGTTTAAAAGGTGTGGGAAGAGCTCTGGCGATTTGTGGAAGCGTTGGAAGATGTGACGCCGCAAGGACACAGTCCATCAAATTCATGGGTGTTTGCTAACGAAACATCCGGGTAAAGTCAGGATTTTTTGCCTTGGACGTTGAGATGGTGGCATTTCCTCACCAGGACGGCCGTTGTTTGGCCTTACTGCTGATATTTGGGGGGAGTTTGAGGCGGAACTTGGTGTGATGCTTCCTGCGGTCATTTTGGCCACTTGTAACTCAATTCTTTGAGCTGGCTGAAGCTCAAGGTGGTGCCCGAGGCGCATCACATTAACGAGGCAACTCCTAACATTCAAACAATCCTCGAACGTCGGGCTCGGAAGCGTAATCAATCGAATTGTTTGAGCTCTAGCTATATTACATCTATCTCCGGGCGGAGCTTATAATTGCTTGTTGGCACAAGGGAGCAGCCTCCTATGGCGTCTTGTGCAAATTCGACTAAGTCTGCGGACGGAACAGAAGCGCTGAGACAGGGAGCGATGATCAGCAGGACTCTGAGAGATAGGGATTTTCGTTTGTGGATGATCTTGATAGGGAAGCGATTTTTAGTGGGGGAGTAGAGGGGGCGAAGCGCGAAGATATCTCGGCTGTTGGCCGTGCCTGGATGGACGATAGCGCTAGCAGATAGCCCTTTCCAGCGTTGCAGCCTTGTTCGATGCCTGGATCCGAGTCGTCGACGATGAGACGGGAAGTCGCCACGGCCACGGATTCCATCAAGCCTCTAGAATTCATGGGTGGGTGATCGCCCTGCCGTCTGTCTCGTTCCGCCCCCTTCTGACAACTTGAACGTTCACAGACTATGTCGCCCGTCTAGATCCAGATCCAGATAATGATAGTGTATTTGTGTGTAACAGTATTGTTTCCATGCGTGCGCTGGCGATTGTGATTCCGAGTTGGATGGCTTGTTGTTACCAGTCTTCTGCTGAGATGGCTGCTGGCTTGACGGGATGGAGAAGAACGGAAGACGGAAGACGGAAGTCGAAGACGATCCCGCACATGGCTTTGAATCATGACGGACAGCGGTGATATTCTTGGGTTGAGTTTTGGCTTGACTTGGGATGTCAATCTTTTGCGGTGGAGGAGAGGCCAAGGATCAGTGCATCAAGTCAGAACGCGGGATGGTTCTGCGTAAGAGGACCGGGAATTTCAAGTTGGCGGTGGGAAACGATTCAGATGCTGGCCAGGACTGCGGCGAGGTCTGGAATTGGCGGTGGTAGCCAACGTCGGGCACCGAGTGACGGCGAGTCCCAACTCGGCCGTCTGAGGCCTTGATGCAAGAATCCGATTCGGAGCGGAGAGCGTTATCTTTGGTGAGATGAGATGATGGATGATGAGATGAGGATGAGGCTGAGGCCGCCGAAGATTGAAGACAGGTGCCAGTGGGAGGTAAATCTGGTCAACGTAGAAGCGCGCGGAGAACACTGAACAGCGTCTTTGTGCGGTTTTGACCGCGACCGCGACCGACAGGGGCCGCGAGCTTGAATCGAGAGCGGTCTAAATTATTTTTTCCTTCTCTCGTTACTTTACTTCACCGTGAGCGCGCGTGGGCATTGACAAGAAATGAGTAAGAAACGAAGCGATGTCAGCCACAAGAAAAAAGGACATTCTGGCTTTTGGCTTTGCAGGCAGCTTCTTTGTTTTGGAAGGGTCATCTGGTGGGAGATGTGGGATGCAGATGGAGAGAGATGTGGGATGCAGATGGAGAGTAGACCGACGGGCAATTAAGTGCGGTCTCGATTTGCTTGGGGAGATCATCGATCATCACGGGGGTTGATTGAGATAACGGGGAGGTTGTCGTCGCCGTGGCATGTAAGTAAGCTACGGAGACAACGAGGTCGGAGAAGGGGATAGGCTATGTCGCTAGGCAACAAGCAACGGTCCCAAAGAATCGGCGTCCTCTTGAGTCTTTTTTTTTATCAGTCCGTTACCCCACTTGTTATCTGGTTCCGGCTCGGCATTTGTTCTTTAGATAATGACCGCAAGGTGAAACGCCGGTCGTTCCTCGCTGACGTGTTGCTTCGGGTGGGAAGGCCGGGTGCTGCTTGGAGAGTGGCCTCGTGGGTGTGGGCTCTGGATTAGATTGTTGGAGAGAATATCTGGAGAAGAGTCAGCGGCGGAGATGCCCAGAACAACGGCCGCGGCGTCGTCGCTGTCTGATTATTATTTTAATCATGATTAGATCATAGGCCATGTCACGCTTGCTGCGCTGGCGGCCCTTGGGCGCTGTGTCGGACGATTGGCGGGAGAATAGACAACGGGGTGTGGCATCGACGCCGACGGTGACAACGACGGCCAGGTTATTAGAGCACAGCGAGGGGTGCAGTGCATCTAATCACGAATGCACGGAACGCGATTGGCTGATGGGTTATCTTAGATAAACACCCGCCTGGCCTGTCACCCACCTCTTTTTTCGGTGGACACAAGGGACGACAACCGAGACCTCACCGACACCGCGACCCCCACCGACTCACACCCGACCATGTCAGCAGCCACCACCGACCTCCCACAACCCGCCACCAGTCCGACCCAGCAGGCTTACCTTGCGACATACAAGGCCACGCCGGAGCCTGCCAGCGTCAGCGTTACAATACCCCCACAACAACAGCCAGCCCCCAGCCAGCAGCCAGCTCGGACCGTCTGTGTCAACTGCAGCACGACCGAGACCCCGTTGTGGCGTCGCACCCCAGAAGGAAGCCCCATATGCAACGCCTGCGGTGAGTTGGCTTGTCCTTTGTCTCTCGTTCTATCGATTGTCGATGAGGGTGTATGCATGGAGGCAGATCGCATGTAGTCCATGCCCACAGTGGCAATGCCTGGTCCACGATGCAGTCCCGTGTTGTTCCTTTCGCATAGATTTCTTTCTTCTCTCCACCCCTCACCCCTCCGAAATGTCCCTCGCTGCTTCGTCGTCGTCGCTCATCTACAACCTCTCTCCAGGCCTCTACCAAAAATCCCGCAACGCCCCGCGGCCAGCGTCCCTTGCCCCTCACAACACCGGCAGCGCACCCCCAACACCCGTCTCCCAGACCCAAAATCAGCATCACCCAGGCGGAACTTGTCCCGGAGACGGTCGCTGTGACGGAACAGGTGGCTCCAACGCCTGCAACGGCTGTCCGACGTGGAACAATCGCATCGCCAACGGAGCAGCCAGTCCGACTCAGCCCCCACAGGTGGCTCCCGATGATCAGCAACCCGCCTCGGCTTCCATGCGCCAGCTGCTCAATCCGACCCCGCCCCCGCCACGCAACTCCGCTAACACCAGTCCGTGAGTACTCCTCTTTCAAATTATTATCTATCTTTAATTGATGATGATTATCTCTTAAAACAGGAATGCGGCCTCGTCGACAGCGGGAGACTCTCCAGCAGCGGTCAAGATCAATGCTCTTTCGTGCGGAAACTGTGGGACCAGCACCACGCCGCTCTGGCGTCGTGACGATGTCGGGAACAATATTTGCAACGCATGTGGTGAGTTTCCTCTTCCTCTTTGCCTCCTCTCTTTCTCCAACCCTCTCCCCAACTCTACATTTCTCTTTCTCTTTCTGCCATACTCGATGACGTCCGACCGTCGATCCGACGCCTTCGTCTTCTTTCTACAAAAGGAGACGCCGCTTGTTTTTTTTTTTCTTCCTTCGCTCCGTCATCGTCGCGGGGTTACCCCATTCTACTTGCCGCAGAAGCACATCTGCGTTCGCTGTCCATCCCGCTGCCGCTGGTGGGAGCGCAGATCTTATCTTGCGTTTTTCGCTGGAGCTTCCTTTTCTTCTTTTCCCCATTTCTTTTTTGTTTTTCCCTGGTCCTCGGATCCGCTGCAGCTCCTTGGCCATTACCCCGGTCCTATTGCGGCTCCGCACAGAACTCCGCTTCCATATCCTCGTCGCCATGTCATTCGACTTGCGTGGCTTCCTCCCAGTCAATGTGGAGTACCACCACGTCGATGCTAGTCCCGTGGCCCGTCTGTCGGTCGACAGACCATCTTTGGGTGACAGCGCCTCTCGACATCCGTATTGTCGTCCTCCGCCGCCTCCGTCTGCCCACTTTTTTTTTCGGGTCTAGTGCTTGGGCTGCCCGCCACAGCCAGGCCTTGGCGTTCGGCGCTCGTCGGCCTGGTGGTGGTGATGGTGCAAGAGCAAAGGCCCTTTTGCTTCTGCTTCTCATCTCCCAGCTGTCTTCCGTCTTCCCTCTCCCATCGTCCGCTCCCTGCCCGTCCTCTCCGACCCTCCCGCCCCCGCCGCCCAGGCATTCGATCGACAGGACCCCAAAACGCCCTTTCCGCGCATCCCACGCCAATCTGATAACTCCAATCAGTTATCAGATTCGATTAGGGACACGGGGGTAGCACACGAGGCTTGCCTTGCGGCTTGCGGCCTTTGCTGGGTTCCCGAGGATTATCGCATTGTTTCTGGTCGCTATGGATTACCAGTGGAGATATATCTCTCTCTTTCCTCTTGCACTCATCCAATGCCCTCCCCACCCTCGGTCCCGCGTCCTCGGCTCCGCTTTGTGCTTGCTTCGTACATCCCAGAACCCGCATGTCACGACGACAACGTGCGTGTGAGCATGGTGATTGTGCGATTCGTGTCGCCAAAAGGGAGTCATTGCGGCAGAGGCGGAGACGGATGGGCAACGACCGACTACGACAAAGTGGAGCTGGGACTCGATATTCGGGACGGGAGCGCTGAGCGCAATATCCATTTGCCAGGTCGTGTGGGACGCGATGCAACGAGGCTGGTGATGACGCTCGTCGTGGCAGTTGTGGGAAGGAATCTAATCAGATTC